ATTTCAGAGGACACCACACAAGGACATGGAAAAGGAAAATGCAACATTGCTGACAGAGTTTGTTCTCACAGGACTTACACATCAACCAGAGTGGAAAATCTCCCTGTTCCTTATATTCTTGGTGATATATCTCGTCACTGTCACCGGGAACCTCGGTCTGATTGCTCTCATCTGGAATGACCCTCACCTTCACATCCCCATGTACTTATTCCTCAGGAATTTAGCCTTTGTGGACACTTGGATATCTTCCACCGTGACCCCCAATATGCTGCTCAACTTCTTAGCTGAAAGTCAGATGATGTCTTTCTCTGAGTGCAAGATCCAGTTTTTTTCCTTTGCACTCAGTGCAACCACAGAATGTTTTCTCTTGGCAACAATGGCATATGATCGCTACGTGGCCATATGCAAACCTTTACTCTACCCAGTGATTATGAACAACGCACTGTGCACCCGGCTAGTAGTCTTATCTTTTGTAGGTGGCTTTCTTCATGCCATAATTCATGTGGGTTTTTTATTCAGATTAACTTTCTGTCACTCCAACATAATACATCACTTCTACTGTGATATCATCCCATTGTATAAAATTTCCTGCACTGATCCTTCTATTAATTATCTAATGGTATTTATTTTCTCAGGTTCAATTCAAGTATTCACTATTGGAACAGTTCTTGTCTCTTACACATTTGTTCTCTTAACAGTCTTTAAAAAACAGTCCCTCAAAGGCATAAGGAAAGCCTTCTCCACCTGTGGGGCTCATCTCCTCTCTGTATCTTTGTACTATGGCCCTTTGCTCTTCATGTATGTGCGCCCTCGATCGCCACAAGCTGATGATGAAGATATGATGGCCTCTCTGTTTTACACTGTTATAATTCCTTTCTTAAATCCAATTATTTACAGCCTGAGAAATAAGAAAGTCATAGACTCACTGATAAAAACATTGGAGAAAATAGTTTAGGGCTTTTACAAATATCTCTTCTCTTTTTAATAAAACAACTACAAACATTTTGCAGTACAGATGTAGGTATGATTTTGTACATGTTGAAAGCCTTTTTGCAAATTGCAATTGTCCTAGCTTTTTCGTGATTTAAAATGGTAGCACCTAATATCCTAAAATATTTGTATCTATTATTCAAAAATATGTGAAATTTTAATCATGTATTCCTGTCTTACTATAATATTTAGAGTAGACAATAAATGAAAACATTTTATAGGTTATATGCTCTTCATGTGACTTTATAAATTAATGGAATGCTAAAACTGTATATCTCCCCAGAAAAGAAATCGAGTAAGATAAAATATATAGCAAATAAAGCAATGTAGCCTGGATCCGGGGTGTGGAAACTTTTCACATTGGCAGGCTGCATTAATTTAGCTGTAAACATATAAGTTTGCATTCAAGAGACTTCAATTAGATATACTTTAAAATGTACATTATTTTTTCTGGCAGTGCCTGTGGCTCGAAAGAGTAGGGTGCCAGCCCCATATGCCAGAGGTGGCGAGTTCAAACCCAGCCCTGGACAAAAA